TGGGAGGCGGAGGCAGGAGACTCGCTTGAGCCCAGGAGTTGGAGGTTGCTGTGAGCTGTAATGCCACGGCACTCTACCCAGGGGGACAGCTTGAGGTTCTGTCTCAAAAAAAAATAAAAAAATAAAAAAAAAAATAATGATCGCTTCTTCCTTAGGAATAAAGCAAAAAAGATTTCCTCTGTTAGACTATTTGAAACTAGGAAATGTTTGTAACCTAAGTTAAAAACAAAGCAAACAGGCAAAAAATGTAAGCTTATATTTGTTTTTCAGAGTCTGAATTTACTAAGCTGATTTGCTTTTTCTGTTTTCTTTTTGGATACAGAGTCTTACCTTTTCGCCCTCGGTGGAGTGCCATAGCGTCATAGCTTGCAGCAACCTCCAATGCTTGTGCTCAAGTGATCCTCTTGCCTCAGTTTTTCTCTTGCTGAAGCTGGTATCGAACCTGTGAGTTCAGGCAATCCACCCACCTTGGCCTCCCAGAGTACTAGGATTACAGGTGTGAGCCACTGCGCCCAGCCAGCTAATTTGCTTAATTTAGTATTTGAGGTTCTTACAGTAATTTGGCTGAAATTGTTCAAATTTTGTTTTGGTAATTACCTTGTTTTATAAAAATGTATGTTTGTTTTTAAAATTACAAATAATTGGAGCACGAACCCGCTGAGATGAACCCTTTAACTAAGGTGAAGCTGATCAATGAGCTGAATGAGCGAGAGGTCCAGCTTGGAGTGGCAGATAAGGTGTCCTGGCACTCTGAGTACAAGGACAGCGCCTGGATCTTCTTGGGAGGGCTTCCTTATGAACTAACTGAAGGGGACATCATCTGTGTGTTCTCACAATATGGGGAGATTGTTAACATTAATCTCGTGCGGGACAAGAAGACTGGGAAATCCAAAGGATTCTGTTTCCTCTGCTATGAAGACCAGAGAAGCACAATTCTGGCTGTTGACAATTTTAATGGAATCAAGATCAAAGGGCGAACTATCCGAGTGGATCACGTGTCTAACTATCGGGCTCCTAAGGATTCAGAAGAAGTAGATGAGGAGACCAGAAAGCTGCAGGAGAGTGGCTGTGGGGCTCATACCCCCTCACCGAGTTTGTCTGAGGGCTCTGAAGATGACGAGCCCACAAAAAAGCACAAAGCAAGAAAGGAAAAAAAGAAAAGAAAGAAAGAAAAGGGGAAGACTGACCGGGAAGTACAGGCAAAGCAGTCATCCTCTTCTTCATCACCCAGAAGCAAAGCAGTAAAGGAAAAGGATGACCCAGGCCCTAACAAGCTCAGCAGCAAGAACTCTGAAAGAGTTCAGAAGCCAGAGTCCAGGGAGGGACGGAAGCACTGCTCAGGCTCCTCTGAGGTCAGGACCACCTGCCATGCTGCAGCAAAGGACCCAGAGAAGGAGCTGAAGAAGGAGAGACCCAAGCATGAACATGAGTCCTCAAGCAGGAAGGAGGTAAGAGAAGAAAAGAACAGGGATAGGGACAGAGGAGGAAGCTCAGACAGACATTCTAGCCGGAACAATGGGAGTTCTGAAGGACGTAGTCACAGAAGCAGAAGTAAGAGCCAAGACAAATCCCACAGGCATAAAAGGGCCCGGCACTCCCGAGAGCAGGACTCCTCGAATCCTGTAGGCATCACTGAGGCTTTTTCACCTGCTCAGTAGATTGGCAATGAATTGTGTTTTTCAAAGACAGCCAAATTCAGTTATGTTATTACTTTTTTTTGTACATAAAACCTCTGGGAATGAATTATTTGAATATTTTTGAATATTAGAGTTATTGAGGGGGCTGTGGTTTCAGCAGCCATATATCCTGGATGTTTTAGCATGTTTAATTATCCCTGAAAATGAATGTACTTGGTACTTAGCAGAGTATGTATTCTAATTTTTGGTTCATTTATGTGAGTCTTAGACCCATAGACCCCAATTTAAGATGTAATTGCCAGGAAAGGGAAAATACTAGATGATTCTAGAATTCTAGTCTTCATGTTAGATGTTGACGAATCAGCATCATAGGATGTTTCCAGTTGGCAGAACTATACAGTGAGAAATGTGGTGTCCTAGGTTTGGACAGCTTGACGTGAATGTGAAAAGATACTTAAAATCAGCTCCCTCCCTAACTCCCCTGTTAAAACTTTTTTTATTGTCTTTTTCATTTTTAAAAATTATTTTTGGTTGATATGTCTCTTTCCAAATTTTTCCTTGCAAAATTGTATTGCAAGGAATTTATTTGTATTGAAGTGAAATTCATTTATTTGTATTGAAGTGAAATTCACATAATGTGTATTGAATTCATTTATTTGTATTGAAGTGAAATTCACATAATGTAAAATTTATTATTATTATTTTTTGAGACAGAGTCTCAATATTTTGCCCTTGGTAGAGTGCTATGGTGTCATAGCTCACAGCAACCTCCAACTCTTGGGCTTAAGTGATTCTCTTGTCTCAGCTTCCCAAGTAGCTGGGACTACAGGCACCCACCACAACGCCCTATTTTTTGTTGCAGTTGTCACTGTTGTTTAGCTGGCCTGGACTGGGTTCAAACCTGCCACCCTGGTGCATGTGGCTGATGCCCTAACCACTGTGCTACGGGCACCGAACCTAAAATTAACCTTTTTAAAGGGAACAATTTAGTGGAATTTGGTACATTCACAGTGTTGTGTAATCATCACCTAAACAATAACTCCCCATCCCACTGCACTCCCCACACTCCACCCCTCCTCTCATCTCTGCCATCACCAGTTTTATGTTTGTTATGTTTGTGGATTTGCCTATTCTGGGTATTTCAAATAAGTGGAATCTTACAAAAATAAAATAAAATTACAAATAATTATACCTGCCAGTTTAAAACATTTAAAATCTCAGCTATATTAATCATTTTAGCTAAAGCATTCCCCCTTCACTCTGTAAAATGACAGCAATAAAATAGATGATTTCAGATTTTCTGATCATTTTATGAATCTGTGATGCTTATTGTGGATATTATGACCATCCTCCTAGTAAAGCTAGCAAAGACATTCCGCAGATAACCAGGACTAAGCTAATCCCTAAATAATGGAATATGGTTCACATGCCGGTTACTTCTATTTAGTTAAGGCTAAGTAGCTAAAATAATCAATTTATCATTGTTTTCTGCTTTATTTCCCCCATAAACCAAGAAAAATATATCACTGCTTTAAGATGTGTATTTCTCCAAAATAAGTGCTAAGTTTTGAGTATGTAAGATTGATTTTAAATATATGTGATGAGCTACTTGGGAGGCTGAGGCAAGAGAATTGCTTGGACCCAGGAGTTTGAGGTTGCTGTGAGCAATGATGCCATGGCACTCTACCCCAGGCAACAGCTTGAGACTCTGTCTCAAAAAAAAAAAATGTATGATGAAGCCAGGTGCCGTAGCTCATGCCTATAACTCTAGCACTCTGGGAGGCTGAGGTGGGTGTATCACTTGAGCTTCAGGAGTTCAAGACCAGTCTGAGCAAGAGTAAGACCTCATCTCTAAAAATAGCTAGGTGTAGTGGTGGGCACCTGTAGTCTCAGCTATTCAGGAGGCTGAGGCAAAAGGATTGCCCAAGAATTTGAGGTTGCTGTGAGCTCTGATGCCCATAGCCCTCTACTGAGGGTGACAAAATGAGATTCTGTCTCAAAAAAAAAAAAAAAAGTATGTATGATGATTACATAGGGATTCTGTTCCTGGTATGGCAAATAAATTCCTAGCAGCTAGACCTTCCCTAGATAACGCCAAACTGGACAAAAAATTAAAAAAAACCCCAAACCCTGCAACTATCTGAAAGCTGTGGAGAATGAGCAAAGGCAAACAGATTTCTTGTTTTTTGAGACAGAGTCTCACTATGTTGCCCTCAGTAGGGTGCCATGGCAT